GGCAGGACCTAAAGGTTTTATTCTCGAAGTATAAAATGCTGCATAAACCCTATTAAGCCTGAGTAGAAATGCACCAAGCCACAGAGCCGGTTAGTGGCGTCTTCATGCTCACGAAGTGCATGAAAAAACCGATTCAGAGGAAGGTGCAAGACCAAAGCTCCGGTTTGGTTCGATGAAAGTTGGGATGTCATTGGCAGCTTCACTCCAGTACGGAGAAGCGATAATAACAGATGCGACAGCTGCGTCTTTCCCGACTTTTTTATTTAGTAAAAAATATTTTTTGTCGCTAAGCAAAATACATTTGCATTTCGTGTGAACTGGGAAAGTGAGAGCGAATAGCTGTTTTCAGTTTGGAAACGAGCAATCAGCTGGTACAAGTTTTCTCGTCATCACCATGTTTACGGTCTGTCTCATCGCAACCTTTTCTGATCACCAAGGAAATCCAGCAGTTAATGGTTCAGTACACACCAGATTATTACAGGTACCTCACCTTCTTTCATTCTCAAGACTCTGAGGACCTAATCAGCCAATAATTCAAAACCTGTTGTTGGAATCTTTTGAAGGCAGCAATTACGATAAAGTAATTTTGACGAAACGTGAAAACAGAGGTGCCGGATAGCGCATCGGTAAAAATGCAGGAGAATTGACAAAGGACCCAGAGACCCTCTTTTGTCCGTGGAATTCAGAAGAGGACGAGTTAACCATGGAGGTCATTTGGCGAAATTACGGCACTCCAAGCGGAGATCAATCCCTCCCGCAAATGGGTTTTCTGAGTTCGCAATGGCAAAGATGGGGTCATTTATGCAACTCAAAACGCATAGAGAAGACACTGGAGGCTCAGGATTTGTAACGGATAATATTATACCTTAAAGGCAGATTTACGATGAAAAGTTAGCTCATTGGAAATAAGGGTAGAGGTGGTCAGTGGAGCAAAAGAAGAAACCATTGAAACGGCCCGAAACCCGAGAAATGGGACCCCTTCCTTGCCCGTTGATTTGCGCATTGATGCGACTCTCATCGCTGTGCCCTCTTCAACACTACGCTCTCTCTGCTATCTAATCACTCGCCACGTATAGACCTGCGGCGAGTGATTAGATAAGGGGATTCCGTTCCATTAGCTAAAGGGTTCACCATTACTCATTCGGTTGAGCGAAATGATCTACACTTGTAAAACTTGAGCAAACTTAAGGGCGAACCCCGGGATTAGCCCCATTTGTGGGAAAGACAGCGAGATGAAATTGGTATGGTGCTACCTAACTGTCTCACTGTTCGTCTTCGCCGCAAAACTTATGCGGTTAGGGCGCTACTCCTTACGGGCTTGCAACTATCCAACGCTTCCCTCTCACCTCGATATCGGCGTGCCTCTCGAACGGCGTGATCTCTCGGGTGTTTTCTTCTTCTTTGACCGCCCTACCTCGCCATCCTTCCACATCCGACCTTTTTGAAGGTTAAGGACCTTAATTTCAGCGATCTCAAAGAATTCTCCAACTTTCCTTTGCACCTTAAGACCGTCTCGCAGCCCAGTAATCATTACGAAGCGCTCTTATCACCGGTTTTATCCCGGGGATTGCCTTTAAAGCAACTTGACAGCGATGTTCTTTACATTAATGAACTTTCTTTTTCGAGAAAAAAGGAAGCGTTCGCTCCGTCTTCCGAAGAAGGCAGCTAAACATGTAATATAACGGCGTCATGAACACCACTTTATCGCGAGATCACAAGTGCGTTCCCAGATCTTGTGTCAAAACCTGGCATCAAAAGAGGAATTAGGTCAGTGATGCATGCACGATTATACGAGTATTGTTTTCACGCGCAGCAGCATATACGAGGAATATCGCTGTGTCCGAACTCACTGGAAGGAGGGAGATCCTCCGCTCAAAAAGCGTCGGAAATGGGAATTACGGGGGGGGGGTAAGCGTATTTGCAGAAGCCAATTTGCGATTTCCTTGCATCAATAGTTCATAGCCCACGCTTTTTTTGTTGCGGTTCTTATAGGAGCTCTATTTTGAAAGCCAGGAAATTCCTTCCAGCGTAGTTATCACTCTATGGGAGTATCGAGGTATACAACCACGGACCGCCACTATGTTTGCACCTCCATAGGTCTTTGTTATCTGTTTTATCGGTAACGAATAATCTATCAGTATCCAAATACATGATATTTTCTGCACTCCTAAAAGCTTATTCTTGAACTTGCTGCAAAAAAATTGGTAAATAAACCAAAAGCAGCGATTCGTTTTCGCATGGTGGCGTGCTGCGCATGGTGCTGCAACCGTCCGCGGAAGATTCAATTAGTCCTACTCCTGAATATTAGAAAACAATTTCCTGTTTTTTTTTTCGCTCACTACGGAACTGCTGTTTCATTTTTTATCATCATGCACCCCCCTCCCCCCTAGAGGCGGAGATAGTGTAGTGTAGTGCAAAGAGGAGACACCTACCCCACGCAAGTTCTCAGCTTAAATCTTACCTAGGTAAAACAAACCTTCCATCTCTTCATAGTCAGTAGGCTGGTACCAAACTTCTCGGGGAGGGTAAAAAACACTGGCTGTCCACTGAGTACGTGGCGTACCCAAGGAAATTTGATACAGCGCGATTACATGTTCTGAAATTGCTGCAAAGTTTATACCTCGCTTCATTACTCTGAGAACCTTCTTCATTAGGCTTATATTCAAGGACTACACCTGTTTAGAATTATGCTGCACATACTGTGTAGTCGTGATGTGAAATCAGACCCTGGATCAGGGTCAACCCTATGTTGCTACAAGTAGCAACGGGGGGTCGTATTTTGATGAGTTTGTAGAGGGGGGGGTCGTACTTGTTTCGGTTAGTAAGAAATTGCATGTGATGAGATGAGGTGCGGGAGAAAATCTGCCGTTTCAGCGCGCGCACTTACCGACGGTAATTTTTTGGGTAAAAATTATTTTGAAAGAGGGGTCAAAAACTTTTTGAAAAGTAGCAACGGTAGGACCGAGCCTGCCCTGGATGGGTTTATTCCATCGAATCAGGCTACTCGATTTGTTAGTAGTTATTTTATCCGATAGAGTCATTTAATTCCACCTGCATATCCAGGTGAAATGAGATACCAACAGCTGTCGTTGCAAAATTACTTTTCGGTCAAACATACCCTCATTAATCACAAAACATCGCGATTTCAACTCTTTTATGTTTATTACATTTTATAATTTAACAAGTGGGGGACCAATTAGCAGAATTACTTTCCTTTTTCGAAGTATTCTAGCTGTCAGGCACCCAAAGTTTCCATATTAGGAGTTCTAGTGACATGAATGCACTTAATATAACAACATCTCGAGAAAGATGCTGATCCATATCCAGCACTGGGGAAATTCGAGTGGCTCAACATTTGTGGGCGTCATGAAACTAACAAGGGAGGTCTTTCGGGCAAGCTGCGCCTTTCCAAAACGGTTTTGTGCATATTGTAGGGACGCATGTAGGGAACGCAAAACCATGTTTCATTTTCGCTGAACGGTTATAGCAGTACCAAAAAAGAAGCATAAGGTACTGTTAAGGGTTCGATCCCCCGTGGCGACTAAATTTTGCATTTGGGTTGGCGCCTACGGTTTGGTGCCAAATCGCGCTAAATATCAAAATCAGATGTCAAATTCATCGTCAGGACCATTTTGAAGCCAACAAGTGGCCGCCAACCTTGATTGCAAAATTTAGTCGCCGCGAGGGATTGAACCATCAAGAGTATTACTCACCACTTTTTTAGTACTACTAAATACATTTTTGGTACTACTAAAACCGTTCAGCGAAAACGAAAACTAAACCGTTTCCAAAAAGCGCACCTTGCCCTGAAAGACTTCCCTTGTAAGTGGAATAAGAAGTCGGAAATTGTTCTTCTCTTAAGCGAGCCGACGGAGAGAACGAGAGATAACTGTGTCTGTAACCTCACGGTCATTTAAATGTATGCGAGGAAGGGTGAAAGTAGCGTCGGGGGTGTTGTACCAGCCGGACCAGTGGCATGTGGATCGCATCAGCGGAATCCGCGAGGTGCGGCATAGCGTGGAAATTACCAACAGGTGTCTACAGCACATCTGGCAGGGAAGATGCGTGCGCGCTAGAATGCTTTTGAATTGTGCGTCCATGTGCCTGCGGGAGCCATAGTTTGGGCCTGTTTCCCTGATTCTCTAACTAAGGGACAAGCGTTGGGCGGCTGACAGCCTTGCAGTTGCGAGAGATGTCGATCAACGAGGAAATAGAAGTATATCGGAGAAGGCTAAGGATCGACCAGACGAATACATATGGCGAATTGTGCGCGGCTTATCTCTCTTAGTTACGTACATATACATATAATAATAGAGAATAAGTGAGAAAATATCGATATTGGTGCAAACATCTTGAGATCGATAGGAAGGTTATCTACGATGAGACGACGAAACTACTGAATTAGCTCAACACAGAATATTCTAGGATAAATTACAATAAATAAGCGGCGAGACTAAACCATTGCGAAACTTTTAAAGAGGAAAACCAAGGTTGAATCCAAGAAGAATTACCAAAAAAGACTAGGTTTGGGTTCTCGGCGAGGCGGCTTTAATTATTAGAAGTGAATATATAGCATATAACAAAAAGAGCTATCAGCAAGGCGTACTGACTCATCGCAGGATGTTTATGGCGAAAGCGATGAAATGGATCAAATGATCCCAGAGGCGAAACGGGCCACCGATCTGGATGGTGATGCAATGGCGAAGTGACTTGGCTAGGATTGATGCGCGATTTTAAGGCGCAGGAGACCAAGGTCCTGAGCCGCTTAAGATCGGTGCGAAGTTTGAGCGGGTATTAGTCCTGCCTTCTGTCAGTTCGCCTTGGAACACTTTACTCGAGTAGTGCACAGTCACGACAAGGGAGTATTCCTCATTGTGCTATTCGTCTCCAAGGTCTGCTAAGGATATCTTCAATGGTTCCTTAACTTGCCCATTCCAAGCGGCTTTCTGATAAGGGTTCTGTTGAGTGTCCTAAATCCAACATATAACTACAACATTCACGTGATAGCGATCCCTCCACACTTACGGTCCTACCCTGCCTCATTCCCTCTACCTCTTAAATCTCGGCAGAAGTTCCTTGACCAAGAACGGCTTCTTTTCTCTATTTCTGATTTAGTCCGTTTTTATCAGAAAGCCCTTTGAATGGAAACGTTATCGAAGGTGTTTTCCTCTGTAATCGCCCTTGTCTTGATCTTTACGTTTATGAAGTTGCGCAGCCCCTCCTCCTACTCCCTCGTGTTCCATTTTCAGCGGATGAAGGGAAAAGCAGTGAGTAAATCAATATTTGCAAGCTGCGCCATGCACTGGCTTTCATCATATTGTCAGAATCGTGGATCTGGATCACGTGAATATAGATAGGTCTGATACAAATCGCTTTCAAATAAGAGGGCACGAAGGCTGCGTTCACTTGACAATCACAAGCGCCAGTGTTGGCGGCTCTTGCCCGCTCCAATATCATCCCAGGCTATAAACAGCTCTTCATCACAAACTTGCCTTTTGTTATAAAATACAAAGAGGCACCAAAATTTATTCCAAAAGAGTCCCAGAAGTTCACAAATTACTCGAAAAACTCCAAAAAAATTTTCAAAATTCTTTTCAAAATTTTGGAGTTTTTCGAATAACTTGTGAACTTTTGGGAACTCTTTTGGAATAAATTTTTTTGATGCCTCTTTGTATTTTATAGCATTTAGGTCCTGATGAGGCTCCGGGACAGCACAATACTGAGAGAACTTGCCTTTTGTAATGGCCGGAGAGGCGTGATGCATGCTAGACTGCCCTAACCATGCGCGTTTGTGTGCACGCTCAGAAAACGGCTTTGAATGGTGGGCACACGCACATCCATGATCGGTTGAAACAAGGGCATTTTTCCAAGCTGCTCTATGAATGCCGAAAAGGTTTCAAAAAAAAAGTGGTTCATGCTCATTTTCTGCTGACATGCTTTTGCATTCTTTCAGTTCCCGTTTGCAAGGGTTTACAGATGCCTGGGCTCTGAAGAAAAAGCTTTTGGTAAATTCTGAGCTGCAAAAGTCAGTGTTTTTACATTTTTTAAAAAGTACGGCTCCCATGAAGTCTCTCACTCCATTTTTCCCATCCTAGATGCATTCTGGATGAGGAGGATTTATTCCTGTATTTCTTGCACGTGCCGTTACTATATGGAAAAAAAGCTGTTATGAAAAGCGTGCATGTTGAACGAATTCCATGATAAAATATGCTACACATTCCATAATACTTCTACTCGAGACAGTATAGACATATGAGCGTGTCAGTTTTTGAGACTTCTCGACGTTATATCTTCATTACCCTGCTAGACTTTTGCAATAACTACGCTAGGATGGAAGCAGGCTCGATGATTAATAACAAGAAGCGATCTCAAGGCACCTCATATATAAAGCAAGCCCTGGGATAAAACTGGTGCATAAGAGCGCTTCGTATTGATGTTTGAAGCAGAATGAACTGGAAAGTGGAAAAGTAAGCGAGAGAAAGTAGTTCGAAACGCTGAATTACGACTTCTTCTTTAACACGTTGACGACATCGCATGTTTTGGCATTTTGCACCTCGTGGGACAGGAGCGATTTTGCGACCGCGCCGTCCTCACCTTACTTACGCTTATTTTTTGTTAAAAATGCACAATAACTTGAATTTCATAGGACTATTTCGGCAAGGACGATCGCACAAAGGTTAAGTATATAAGTAGCAAAAGGTTTTCGTTTAGAAGAGCGCATAATACCACAAGAAGTAAAAAAAACATCACTTTCGCTGCGAATGAAATTAAAAGCATTTATATCTAAGTACTCCCATCAAATCAAATATATTGAAACTCACAGAGTTTTGTTTCAACTAACTCTAAAATCTTTCATAAGAATATTGACGGCAGTGAAAGTATTATTAAGAAAGAATCGGAACGAAAGTTTTGTGCGTTCGGAAAATCTTTGCTTAATCAAAAGATACTTGACCACTCTAGCTGCCAAGCGGTTTATAGTCATGCTAATGTATTATCTATAGAATGAATACAAGAAACCCGAGAGGAAGGAGCGCAAGCACGATAAAAGTGAGTAGCATAGACTTGACGCGCTTGCGCGTCAGAATGTCCGATGCGGTGCGAAATTCTTGACGCGCATGCGCGTCAGCTTGTCGTCAACGTGTTAAATAAGATCGGATGAGGCCCGTTGGAGGGAGCGCGTTGATCTTTACATTAATCGCGGTATGTGGGGAGTGCAACGGGGGCTGATGGTTGCAGGACGGTGAGGAGAAGAGCCTCAAGCACGCAACTTTTGCGATGAAACTAGCATGGTCTAGGTAGGTACGGACCCCACAATCTCCCTGGCGCTATCCTTCCTACTAATTGGGCTAATCCCAGCGCTAAGCTTTAACTCATTTGATCATGCTCTAATTCTACGAGAACACAGATCTGAATGAGGAGATCAATAGGTTGACGTGCGACTGCGCCTTATGGGGAAGACCTAAGTTATAGGGCGTTGTTGTGGAAAACGCAGGTGGCACCTTTCTTATTTTTTTGTCAATTTGTAGTGAAAAAAAAACCTTGGCCCGTGCTGTACACGGTTTCTCAATCGTTTTTTCTGTTATGCTCGGACATTGACCAATGAAACTAGCTTATTTCTGATAGCTGCCTCAATTGAGTCCTGCCTTTTAAACACATTGCGTTCTCGGTCTCGCGTACTCATGTGGCGCACGAATTTCGGCACGCCACTGCGCTAGTTTTATCTGATTTAGTTGACATATTTCAATGCTTAAGCTGTTTGCAGTCATTTCCAGAGTTGGGAAACCATTTGTCATCACTTATAAAACCCTTAGTATTGTGCTGTCCCGGAGCCTCATATCCCGGAGCTTCTCTGTGTTAAACTGATAAAACTGCTGATAGATTAGTGATGACACCTTTTCGAAAATATAAAAATATACGAAGGTACTCATACAACGGCGGCCCGCGGTGTTTTCAAATGATAGGCAGGGTCACTTTATTATTCTTTGCTCCATTGTTCCAACACCCAGAAAATAGAGACGCATTCTCACTAAACCTACACATGAAGAATTGCCCACCATTTTTCAACTTCTACCATAATAAATCCAAGAATTTCAGTTGACATGCGTCCTAGCAGCTTGTATTCCTCTCCTATCATATTTCGACAAAAACTAGGGTCATTCGAAAAACTTCTGTGGGCAATACTGTACAGGTACGTTCAAGCCGCCCGCTCTCCTGGACTCCACTGACACTCTAATTTTTCTAATTTTAGAGGACTGGAGCGATAATGAAAGTCAACGAAAAGTCTATGGAGCAGCACTGCTCTGCGTTCAGCTGGTAGTTCCTCTGACTATTATAGTAGTTTCGTACACAGCGATATCCCTTCGAATTGGTCAAGTGAGTTTGAAAAGTTTAGAGACCTGTTGTATTTTTACTAAAAATACTATTTTTTCCGAGCGTAATCCTGAGAAGTACGAAACGTGATTCGAGCTGTAATTGGAATGTGCAACTTACTGATCAGCAAAGGATGGCACTCAAAAGAAAGCAAAGAACGAATCGGATGCTCATTGCGATGGTGGTTGCGTTCTCTGCAAGGTGAGTCTGACTTTATTAGGTTGGAAGGAAAGTTCCTTAACACTTGTAGCTCAATTTTTGAATTTATTTTTTTTATTCTTTATTTATTCAATGATCCATAACATATTGACCATTAGATACAACAACACTACGCCAACCTTCGGGCATTTGGGTGACACCGCAGAAATTAGAAATTAGGAAGATTTTTGCCAAACAACCTTCTGGTGTCGGATTTGCGCTCGTTTACGTCGTCGAGCTTCCTGTTCTCCAGGTAATGAGCAAGCGAGCAGGAAAGGTTGAAGAGGTGTATAGATAGGTTTGACGAATATATGGCAGACGGGCAGCCGCGGTCCTGCCTGGCTTCAGAGTCTTGTGGCTTGAGACCGAACACCCGCGACGTTGCGCGTTGTCGTGAAGCAGGTTGACTTGTCGCTATATTCGGCGAAGCTCTTCTGCAATCTTTTCGAGCAGCTAGCATTGTGAAGCCCTTGTACTCGTCAATCCTCCAGACAGATCATCACCCGTGGGAAATACCGTCAAACGTCAAAATGGGCAGTAGTCGTGTGTTGCGTCAGAAAGATCAAAGTCTTCGCTGCGGAGCGTTTAAACCAAGCCGAAACCGCCATGTGAGAGAACGTGCCCAGGCCTATCCCGGGACTGATCCTGACCACCTCTGGTGGGCAGATCTCTCTAGGCGGAGCTCTTACAGAATGAGCGCTCGGAGTGTCTGGCGGGAAAAGTTGATTTAGTGCCATGCAAACGCCATTATTGGGAAAGCTGATTTGATCACCGTACGTAGCACGGTCCACTCCTACTATATACCACCCATGGAAGATTCCAGAGCATTCGGGAGAAATCCAGAAAGAGCGCGAATTGAGTGTTAAGGAACTTTCCTTCCAACCTAATAACTTCCAATCATTTTGCAAGTCTTTAGTCTTTATAATAATAAAAAATGGAAATAGATCTATGAAGTTGACCGCAATGAAGAAAAGAAGGAAAAGAGCTATGACTACACTGCAAATGAAGGCCTTTTTTGTGATAGGCCAGCTTTTGCGCGATAGGCACTTAACGCAACAACC